TGGCAGGGCCGGTGGGCAAGCCAAGAGGAGGGACAGCAGGAAGGTGCTGGGGATGGGGTTGGTGGTGGGGGTACACTGGCTGCAAACGCTGTGCCCTCTGCGATGTTGGAAGTGCCTGGTGCTGCAGAAGTTGCTGGCAAGCTGGGTGGAAAACATCCCTCAGCCAGACATGCATGTTTTAGGAAGCTGCTCATGGGGAGAGGCGTCTGCTGACGGCAAGGACCAAGAGCAGACAGGATCAGAGGGGAAGCACCAGGGCAAAGATGAGGCTTCAGGAGTGCTGCCCTTTCCCACCCCACTTTTGCTCCAGGAACTGCCCCTCACCACTTTGTGGCTGGTGTTCACCTGCTGGCTCCCTGTGTGGTGTGAGATGGCACAAAGGTGACTCAGTCCTCCCTTGGGAGCTCTGGGGAGCCTGGCTGCATCCTAAATACTAGCACCCCAGGCTTACCTCCCCTGGGTCCTGGGGGACTAGCTCCAGGGACCAGGGAGGCTGAGGCAGGCTGGGGAGGGAGAAGGCGCATCCACCCGGAAGGAGCCTCCTGCCCCTTATCTGCTGCAGCAGCCTTGCCTCTGCAGCCCCTCTTTTCTCCTCCGTGTGGCTAACAACACTGCTGGTGCTGCAAACCCCTCTCTGCCTCTTGGTTCTGGAAATGGGGCCTCTCGGTTCTGGTTCACAGCATCTCCCGTCCACATCCTTCCTCCCTGCTGCCCTTCTCCCCTCAGTCCAGGTTCCCCACCCTCTGGTCACCAGTGCCACCTCTCCCTGGAAAATGCGTCTTCTGCACTTGGCTGTGTGACACCTAGGGGTAACATTGCTTGGCAGTCTCCATTGTAACCTCAAGTTTTCAGTTGCTCCTAATATTAACCATGTGGGCCCAAACTGACGGATTTGTGGCTCTAGCTGGATTTTTCTTTTTTTTTTTTTTTTTTTCCCCAGGAGTTTGAGCTGCCCAGAGAGCGAGGCCCCATTTCAGCACTGCTTGTGCTCAAGCAGCTCTTGGCTCTTTGTGGCCTGGAACTGCAATGTCAGTTACAGATCCCCTGAAACCTGTGGAAAAGCAAAGGCAGGTTCTCAACAGAAAAGAGTCAAGTTTTACCCAGGAATTCATTTGCTGTCTCAGGGTGGATGCTCCCCATGCTTCATGACCTGGCTGGTAAAATGGAGTATTCATGCGTACCTGCCTTCCCAAAAATGTTGGAGTGCATGGCTGAATAAAGACTTGTAAACAGAAAGCATCATCAGCAAGCAAACAGAATCTATTTCTCCAGTACCCTCCTCTGGTTGCCCGATAACTCTGGAAGCCAAAATCAAGGCAAACTAGGTCCTTAGCTCTTGTCACAATCTAGGCAGTGAGTGGAGGAAAAGGTAAAGCAAGCATACATCAGATTTCCCTCCAAGCAACTACCATGTAGTATTAAAAAAAATACTCCCATAGCCAGCTAGTAGATTAACTTCATTACATCAAGGCAGCTGGCTAAAGCCTTAGGAAAACAAGTTTCTCTCCAGTCTGTGACATAGCATTTTGTAACAGAGCAGTGCCTGGACACGATCTCAGGCAGCAATTACGATCAGAGCTGTAAGTGGACAAAGGCTGGGGCTTGCAGTCATGAAGCAAAGATGATGAATGATGCCTGAGGGTGCTGAGCCCTGTACAGGACCAGAAACATGCTGGAAAGCATGGGGTAGTCTGCACAGAATATTTTTAATGGGTAGCTTGGTAGCAGAAAAATTTGCATCAGGCAGGATAATTGTGTTTAGTCCACGCTGAACTTTATGGCAGGTTGTGGTGCTGTCTGTCCGCACCACTCCAGCCAAACGTCCACTGTTCTCTCGATGCCAGCATGAAAAAAGACCCTTAACGTGCACCTCGATGAGTCGTGAGTTGCGATGTGCTTACACCTTGTTTGGATCTAATGGGTAAACTGAGCAGTCTGGTAGTGACAGCAGCTGGTGATAGCAAGACGCTTCATTCAAGACAGTCACTTGATAGCACTGTTGTTTTTGAGTTGCTTTCTGCAGCTGGGATGAGAAAAGGTGCGGAGGAAACCTGCTGCTCCTCCAGCCCTGCCAGGCCAACACTGGCAGACCCGAGGAGCTAACAAGGGCCTTTGCATATTTCCCCCGCATAGTACAGTAGCAGAAAAGGCAAACCCGCTGAGCTGCTGACAGTGGCCTGCCCGCGAGCTATGGGTGAGGCAGGCTGCAAGTCCACAGCAGCACCAGTGAGGTGGCAGGAGACTACGGGGAGGTTACTTGTAGCAGCAATGTGACTTCAAACCACATTGAAATGACATCTTTTTCATTACAGGAAGCTGAATAATCTGATAAGGTGACAGCTGCCAGTTATCAGTCCTCTGTCAGGACCTTAGATAAGGCAAATCTGAATCACATCGTTTAGGAGTGCACCAAAATCTGGGCCACTGCAAGAAATAGGCCCAGCTGTTGCTGGAAAAAACAGGCTTCCCAGATAAAAGTCAGCAAGCAATTAAATTCCTCTAGGTTACAAATGTGTATCAGTGGATGAAGAGAAACTCTGTGGATATGCAAATAGCCGTGAATGGCTTTGTCTGCAGGAAATGTGTGGGATTACTGTGCCAGCCAGAGACAGAAAGAATAGCCAGAAGGAATGAATCTAAGCAGGAAGAGTTTCAGGTCTGGGCACAAGCTAAAAGAGTTTTTGACCACTCTTCCTTGAACATGAAAAGCTCAGGGAATAAGCTTCTCTTTGGAGAGAGACGGTAAAGTGTCTTTCATTTGGGAAAAAAATCAAGAAGATCCTGAGATCACTTGGCAGAGGAGTGGCAGGGGGACGGGAAAAGACGAACCCGCATCCCATTTGATATCGGCAATTTCTGGTGGCTTCTGAAAGGAGCCGTGTCCAAGGTGTCGTGGGGAGCAGTGACACCTACAGAGGAACTGGCTGAATAATCCACAGCCCCATCACTCTCAACGCAAGGCGCCGAGGCAACATACTCTGCTACACTGTGCCAACAGAGAGTACTGTGCAGCATTTCTGTGCTGTTACCTGTGATGTTTTGTGTATGAGTGATGAGCTATAAATTTAGAAATCGGCACTGTTTTCCCACCTATAGCTTAGTGGGGTTTTTCTCCCAAACTCCATTCTGTAGCTGTAAAACAGCAAGTGTATGAAAAATGAACAAGCTAAGTTTGGTCTGTAGGGAGGCTGCGTCTTTTATTAGACCGACCAATGCAGCTGGGGCAAACCGACAATCTTTCAGGCATCTCATTTATCTTTGGGTCTGATCTGCAGCCTGTTTTTATCCCAGCTGTAACTGGCAGCATAATGAAAGACGTTTCTCCTCCTTAAAAACCTTGCCTTACTTCTACTCCTAGACTGCTGTGGCTATAGCCACCCAAATGCCGCCACAAAGAGATCAGTCAGAGTTTAGGACCCAGAGCCCTGTTTTAGGCTTACAGGATGTGACAGCTGACTGAAAATCAATGAAGTGTGATTTACAGAGCGTCATAATGAGGCAAGCTAAGGCTTGAAAGGTGCTGTCTTGCCTTGCAGACTCAATTGTCCGCCCTGATATTTGACTAAATTGTTTTAGTCCCCTACTGATCAGACCGATTTGCTTATGAAAACAAAAGATCAGATTTAAAGGAAAAGCCACAGTGGCGTCCATGCTTTGCCTAGTGCTCTTCGCGCTGTGTCTGAGCCGCTCAGGTAAGTGTGGTTTCTTCTTCTTCCAAGCTGAGCTGCAGATGTTCAAGATTTTTTTTATGCTGCTCGCTGGGACAAGGTAAATGCCGGCTTCCCTTGGTCCTCTTCTTAACGCTATCTGACTAGTGAAACAGGGGTGTATCAGCTGCTGCCTTAGTGTTGCAGCAGCAGCCAGTTTGGCAACAGGGCTTTAATAACTGGGACGAGGGGTGGTCGCATGTTGACTAAAGAACCCCAAGCTCAACTCTCACTGCTAAAGGGAGTTACGGGAGAATCTCTGGTGATGAGCGGCTGAGAGTCCTCTCTGTATTTCTGCTTCGCGGACTCCCTGCCCCAGCACTCCCGCTCCTGCGCCTGTGGGGAACGGCTCCTGGCACGGACCTCAGAGAGAAACGGGAACTTGGGGAGAGGGGAGACAGAAAGACATGCTTGGTTACTCGTAAGTGTGATAACCTGCCAGGGAGCTCCCAAACCTTTGCCTTCTCTGTGCACTGTGTGGTAAATTCAGGGATGCGTCTGTCCTATGGCCACATCTCTGGTTTTTTAAAGGCAGTGTTAATTTGTTCAGTGATTTCTCCATGACTTTATGTAACTTAATCATCAGATGGAGTTTGATCAAAGGAGCTGTTAGGCTATTTTTTCCACTTGATAATGTCTTTCTTCTCATTAAAAACTTCTGCTTTTAAACTGTCTCCCTCCAAGTACTGAGGCTATCTTATAAGGGCATGAATCTTTCTGGCTTTCTTCTCTGTGAGACTTCTCAAGTCTTTTTCACTCTTTTCTGTGGCTTCCCCAGCAGCTGAGAATCATCACATCCATCCCCAAAAACAGCTTTACCATCTCCCTGCTATATCCTGTCAGAGCATTAGGGCCCCTGGACTTCATGTGAGGTATGGGCTGTGGAACAGCACTGTTTTGCTTTGCGAGGGAGTTCATAAACAGCCATGGATACCATTCCCGTGGTGTGTGGTTGCATGTGTGTGTGCAAGGAGTTATACTCAAATAAACCCTGGAGCAATGTATTCCAGCATGGAGACAAAGCTCATTTTGATCCTGCATGTTTTGGGGTTGTGGATTTTTTCTGTTCAATGGCTTTCCTGTTAAATTTCCTGTATTTAACAACCATGCACCTAAAGGCAAAGCGAAAGGGCTGGTAGCCGGGGTCTCTGCAGAGACTTGTATGTTTCAGGGGATCAGGCCACTGAGGTTGTGGATGTTGAGAAGGGAAAAACATGTTCTTTCTCTTCCTCTGGCTGTGCATGCAATGCCTGTCTGGTGGATTTGGGCAGGCAGTTCAGTTTCTTGAGACAGACCCCAGACTCTGTCCCCCATTCGCTGTGGTGGGGCTAGGGTTAGCCCTGGAGTGAGAATAAACCCTGGAGCAAGCAGAATGGGCTTCTGTGGTTTCCCACTTGGTAATAACAGACCTCAAAGGATTGTGGCAAAGTGGCAAGACACAGGGTGACCACAGAGGCTGCTGTAAACTGCACCGACAGCTGCATGATTCCAGCCCTGGCTGTGGTGCAGGGCAGGTGGAAAGCAGCATGAAAGCTCCCTCTGACCAACTGGTCTCCACCTCCCCAGGGTCTGGTAACCCCAACAGAGCTACACCTTCACCAACAGAGGACAAGCACAGCCTGTGGTAGAACATCTGACAGTAAAGTAACTGTTATGCTGTGAGCAGCAACCATTAGTCTTCAGAGTTTAGAGCTTCTCAGAGGAATGGGAATTTGCTGTGGCTGGAAGTGGGGATTGACAGTGCTGCTTGGACCTTGTGCCATCCTGAGAGAATCCAGACTGCGTTAGGGAATGATTTTGTCAAGGGAGAGGAGGCTGCATAGTCTGTCTCACCTGGGAGGTGGTCAGCAGCTGCTGCGGGAAGAGGATGCGGGCAGGGACGGTGGTCTGTGGCGAATCCTTTTCCTCCGTGCACGTGGCTGAGCATCACCCTCTGCCTCTGGTGTTGTCTCTGGAGCGGCTGCTGGGTCGGATGCCCTTTCTCTCCCCCCGTGGCTGCCTCAGCCCCCTGCCTGCAGACCCCTCATGGCTGGCAATCCAGGTGCAGGTGCCCTGCTCAAACTGGGGCTGCAGGGCACGGGCGGCAAGGGGACAAGGTGGGCCCCTGTGAGGACCCCTTTGGCTGCTGGCACGGCAATACGGGCTGTGACCACAGCGGCACAGAGCCAGTCAGCACAAGCTCCTTTTTCCTCCGTAGTGCCTCTGAAGAGAGGTGAAATCCTGCTCATCCGTGGGTGCTGTGTCTGTACACAAGGGAAGAGGTGATGGTCGTTTCTGGACCTCAGCATCACGGACAGTGGGGCTGGCGTTTGGGAGAGGATAGAGGTTCTGAACTGCCCTTCCCCTTTCATGGTAGCGGGGGGAAGGGGGACCATGGTGGCAGGGACTGAGGGAGTCTCAGGTCTTGCAGGTACAGGCCATGGTGGCTCTGTGCTTGGTTGCGGGCAGACCTGGCCCTGGCTGCATCATCCAGCTCCTTCTGCTGCCAGATGAGCTCCTTTTGCTTTTTGCTCCACTCATGCTGTTGCCCAGCCAACCCACCCCCCATCTGGGAGAATTCAGCTTGCTCAGTGATTTACTGCTATCTCCTGGTTAACCCCAGAAGGAAGATTCATTTCCAAGTGCTGCTTGAGGCTCCCTCAGATCTGGCTTAGCCTGTAGCTTCCAGTGAGGAAATCCCACCATCCCGATCTTTGTGCAGGACACCCTCCGTCTCGGAGAGGCTACAGGAACTGACCAAGTCGAAGTGAAATCCCTGGGCCCTGAAATGCCCACAGGGTATTGCTGCTGTTTCTAGCTGCAAGCTAGCCAGCCAGGGACTGCCCCACAGTGAACAGATTTCCCCTGTGGCCCCAGCTCTCTATGGCACACCACAGGTATCTGAAAAAACAGAACTCTTTCTCAGGGTGGCATTTATCAGGCTGGATATTTACTACTCAAGAGTGAAAGACAGCATCTGATGCTCTAAGCCTGTGATCTTCTAAAGAGTAATAAACAAGAAAGACTGGGCAAGCGTGTTGACTTAAGACAAAAAGGCCACAGAATACAGAAACCTAGTGCAAACTCATCACTGCTCTGGTCTGATGATTTTTTTTGTGTATGAGTTGGGCTTGGGCTGTCTTGCCTTCCCCTCCCCTTTCCCTGGCTCTGCTAAGAGTCTGTGCTTCTGCATTCCTACAGCTTTTACTGACAAGAGCTGCCTGGAGGTGAATTTGTCTCACATCATCGCTCTGCCTCACTTCTTCAGGCTGTGCTGTTCTCAATGTCTGCTTTCCAGCACGCTCCCATTCTCTGTTGCTCTCTTCCAGACATGGCCGCCTTCAGTTCAATCGCTGAAAACGAGGATGCACTCCTCAAGCACTTATTTCAAGGCTATCAGAAATGGGTCCGCCCCGTGGAAAACTCCAATGACACTATCAAAGTCCTTTTTGGATTAAAGATATCACAGCTTGTGGATGTGGTAAGTATTGTGTTGGGCTTCGTAAAACATCCCTGCTTTTACAGACAGTCGTGCATCCACCAGGCAGGGCTGGTGATGTCATTGACTTTTGCCTCCCGACATGTGAAATGCAAGGTGATGGTCGGGCAATGAAATGCAGAGTGTGATGCGGTGCTGGTGATGTGACCTCCAGCCCCACACACAGCACAGGTCATAAGACTTGTTTGTCTCGCAGCAAACCTGAAGGTCCTTTTTTCCCTGTTGTTCACAGTGAACAAGCCTCATTGCATCAGGTATTAATCAACAAGTCCATGCCAGACAGTCCCTGGCACGTATGTTTGCAATTTAATAACAAGGCAGCTACAGGACAGGAGTGAGGAAGGGCAGAGCTGGTTGGACATTGTTCACTCCAAGCAAGCCTGTATCCAGGCCAAAGGCAGCTCCTATCTTCACCCAGCTGGCCACGCAGATAAGAGGCAGATACAGGCAAAACAAACAATCCCATGTTTCTGCCCACGTGAAAAGTTTCCCTTCCCTTTCCCCTCCATCACTGCAATGCACAGCGGGATTTGCACAGGGCCCATGTACCTGCGCAACCGTGCTCTCCTCACATCCCCAACCTCTGGCAGCGTCCCCTTGTGCTGTGGAAAGCAGACTTTAATTTTGTGCTTTATTCATGTATTCAGGACAATGTTTCAGCTTGTCTCTTCCCAAACTCGCTCCAGGCTGAGCAGTGTGAGCAGACGAGCCACTCCGTGAGCCCACAACCACGTGTGTCCTGACCCCACTTGCTGGCTGAGCCCTGCTGCTTCCCTGCTTTTTGGCATGTGATTCCTTTGGGCTGCTCTGAAATGCCAGACCTCCATTTTCCAGCCTCAGAAGCTCCCAGTGAGAGCAGTGACAGCACCTAGAAAGTCAGTTCACTTCCCCCAACGGTGACTGAAGAGCCCAGGGCCATGGGGAAACAGGACCATAGGGATCTCCTCTGCTCAGCACAGGGTTGGGCTCAGCCCACATAGGCTCTGTTTCTGCTGGCTGTTTTGGTATTGCAATCCTCTCTACCTTGTGTCACCCTAGGATGAGAAGAATCAGCTGATGACAACCAACGTGTGGCTGAAGCAGGTAAATTACACCAAATCAGACCTCCCCTTTCAGCACAGGGCTGCTGAGCTGAGCGGCATCCCCCAGCCTGCTGCCCACCGTGCCATCCATCCCCTTTCGTGATGACAAGCGGCCAGACAAAAGCAGCGCCGTGTTACCTTTCCTGAAGTTTTCACGTTACTCCTCTCACTTCAGCAAATGCATAAAGGGGTAGAAAGGCAGGCAGGTGGGCTTTCAGGAGATAAGGTGCCCTCTTCTCCCCGCCTGCACCCCAGCTGTGCGCTGAAGCCAGCTGTATTTCACGGAAGCAACATCTCCTGATACTGCAGTGGCGGTTCCTAGGACGCTGCGTGTGCCCTGAGGGACTATCCTGTCTCAGACGCAGAGGTCACGCAAATACGGTCTCTCCTGCCTGAGCTAGGAGTGGTGCCTTTGATAGGATTCTTCTTCAGCATAAGTAAAGAGAAAGAACAGGCCAGTATGTTAGCCCTCAAAAATCTGTGGCAAATTAATCAGATCTCTCGAACATACTTGCTGCTGGAAGTGATGATAATGTGTACAAACGGGGGAAAGATGCAAGTTGAACTGTTAGGTCTCCTTTCTTCTTCACTCCTGAAGAACACTGCATTTGGTTTAGATTACATTGCACCAGTTTATTGACCTTGTGACAATTATTTTAAGTCTCTCAGCCATGTGAGTATCTACAAACACGTCAGCTGATCCCAGGCAGAGGACATAAAACAAAAGCCATACTTGAAGTGATGCCATGGGAAGTGGTTCCTGGGGGGCCGCTGGGCTGGTGGAGGAGAAAAGCGGCTCAGTTTTTTTTTTTCTCAGTCTGGTACCTGTAGTGCTGCAGCGAGTGTGAGCTTCTGGGTGGAGCAGGACCCCTAAAGGCCACACAGATATTATATGCAAAGACGGTCGCTCCCGTGAAGAGGGAGAAGCTCAGACTTCCCCTTGCTGCAGGGAGGACAGGAATTTCCCCTTTTGCTGCAGAAATCTGCTGCTGATCCAAATCCAACTGCTGAGAGCCTTCCCCGAAAGAGCTGTGGTATTACATTTCCCCCTCTTCAGCTGCAATTGCAGAGCCCCTTGTGTGCACAGGGCCAGATCTTGGCTTCCTTGCTTTGTTAGAGTAGCTTATTGGGTAGAGAGCAGAGCTCTCCTACGAGGTAACCCCTTGCCCCACATCTGCCCTCTCCCCATTCCTACCCTCTCTCCCTGCAGCCTGCAGAACCAACTTCCCTCTGCGTGTCCAAGCCCTGCAGTCTGCAGGTGTGAAATCAACTGACTTCACCCTCCTTACTCTCTCTGTTCCTGCAAGTGTCCCCAGAAAGATTTTGCAGGCTTTTGCAGCTTTTGACTGAATATTCCTGGGTCTGACAATCTCCTTCTTCCTAGGGAGACTTGGCTGCTTGCTCCACCCAGGACAGCAAAGTCTCCTATGCCCTGGGGCCACCTTCATCCCTCTGGCTGAGTGACATCTTCACCCAGGTTACAGAGGCTGCAGAAGAGAGGGACCTGAAGTATTGACTCACAGCAGGTCAAATGCAAGTCCAGGCTGCCTGAGGGCATTAGGCCTGAGATGCAGATGCAGACAGACACCTAACCAATCCTCTCTCCATTGCTGCATGAGGGATGTTTCGGGTTAACCCGTCCACGCTGAGCACCTTGTTTGTATTGCAGCTTTGACCTTCCCAGAGTCATAGCCCGGAGCCTGTATTGCAACTCTTGCTGTGGGTTATCAGGTTCTGCTGTGGGTGACTCCAAACACACTGCAGGAGACAGGGACATGCCACCACCCACTCATCGCCTCTCGGGTGTAGGGGAGGATGAGGGTGAGGGAGAAGCCATTTTATCTGATACTTCTGGCTCCTGATGTGGCAAAAAGAAGGGCTTACCCAGGAGGCTGCACCATAGACACTCTGATTTCTCTGGAGGCCTTTGGAGACTGTGCTCAGATTTTAGCCAGGGGAGCTCCCTAAGGTAGCTCAGTGCTGTGATTTTCAGAGTTACTGAGCTGGGCTCTCACTAGTTGCTGCTGTTTCTAACACCGCTTCTCCACCTGAGAGGCTGAGAACATCAAGGCCCAAATGAAATGCAAGGGGAGCAGAAAATGTATGAGACACAGGTTCCAGTTCTCACACATGCAGATGCCCCCAGGAGCTCAGGCTGAGAGCTAAATACCTGTGCCCCAACCCAGGTGTCCCGCTTTGGGAGTCACGCGTTCCCGTAGGCTTAGCGTGAACAGGTCCCACATGCAGTCCAGTGCTTGGGGGATTATTAGAGTGCATAAGCACAACAGCTGGGAAAAGGTCCATTAAACTGAGCAGAATTGAAATATTTTTTACTTTTGGGTAGGGAAAAGTGAAAAACACTAAAACAAACCAGAACTCTCCAATGACACAGACCATGTCCTTCTGCAGGAGCTGGGGAGGTCAGGATAAGTCTGCTCCTCACGCTGGGTGCATGAGGTTGAGGGGGAATCACAGTCACCATTTCTCTGCAAGAGTCTGACTTTTCTTAAGTGAACAAAGCTTAAATCCAAGGGTTTTCTTTTTTTTTTAACCTCAAAAATCCAGATGCTCAAGATGGTGGGACTTGATGATGTGCATGCAGGCAGACACACAAGCTGCTAAGGAGCTTTTAGCAGTGGCTGAGAAAGCATCTGGGTTCGGGCAAGCTATGGAGTCTACTAGCAAGGGTCGAGAATCTGGGCCCAGTGTTTCTCGGTCCGCTTGCTGTGAGTTAAGCACTTGAGTAACAGCTCAGAGACAGGAATTCAGAACAACTGGAAGAAGGGGAGAGCAGTGGGAGGGTCTGGAGCAGCTTGGAAGAAAGGGAGAAGAGAGGAAACGGCCCTTCGCATCTGCTGCTACAGTTTGTGTCAGCATAGCCCGTAGGGAGATTCCCATTTTAAACTGCACGTCTTCAAAGTCTGCACACCATCTATTTTCTGCTCTAGTAAGAAGACATGCCAGAATTTGCCCTGCAGACATGGAAGAGCACTTTAGCTGGGAGAGAAATCAATGCAAAGCAGGGGGGGAGGGAGGAGTATTGCAGATGCAGCAAATAACCCAGGCCAAGGGGCTGCTCCAGTTCCACCTGAGGGATGATTATGTCTCCAGGTGGCTCACAGGGTATTTGCTTCTGTTGTGTTGTGCAGGCTATGAGCTGACTCTGTGGGGTGCTGCTGTCAGTCCTGACCACCCCCTTGCATAATAGGTATCTCACCAGCCTAATCCCCCTTGCACCTACTGCAGGAGGTGTCCAGGAGGCATGCGAGCCTGCACCCACCTAACAGCCCAGGCTGCTGGAAATATCTGGTAGATACCCATCCACAGAGAAAAGCTCATGCTAAAAGTGGTGTGCTGTGTCCCTGTTGCTGAGGCTGAGAGCAGCAATGACCGCTCTTCTTCCCATCCCTCCTTCAGCAGCAGGAAGAGCCAGGAGTGGAGGGCTGTGCCTGATACCTGGCGCCAGCCATCTGGGCAGTTCAGAGAGTCCATATGTCTTCTGGTGCTGGTAATGGGGCCGTTAATCCTGCCATGATACTGCCCTGGGCAACTGCCTACTTTGCCTGTGCCTTGGGCCAGATGGAGGGCTCTACCAGCCACCTGCCCGTGACCTTGGGCCCCATCCTTTCCCTGCGCCCGAAGGAGGAAGATGCTCATTCTCACTGTCTGTGTTTAGGTGTCTGCTGAGGCTCTGGGTTGCTGTCACGCTGTAAAGGACTGCAACAAAAAATATCTGTAGGTATTGCTGTTAAAAGCATGTGGAATCGAAGAACTAAGAGGGGAACAATATGGTAGGAGAAGAAGCAGATAATATCGTTTTTTGGTTTGTCCTTGAGTCATGGAGGAAATTGCCCAGGAAAGGCTGAGGCCTCAAATCACTGGGGAGCTCTTAGTGCTGGAGCTTAATGGAATGTGGTTCATCTTCCGCTTCTTGGTATTGACCACAGTCTACATCTCTTACTTCCTCTCAGTGCTGTTCCCGTGACCAGGTGAAAGCCCCCATCAATGATGCATGGGGATCAGAGAGCTGCTCTTCCACTGCATCTCTGTGGAAATCTCCGTGTTGCTGGAGCCTTTGCTAGGATCTTCCTATCCGAAAAACAAAAAGAGGAGAGAAAAATTATTCTGGATTTCAGCATGATGAAAATGGACAGGACTCCTCCTGCTCTCACATTTTTAGTGTTGTCTCTTCAGAATTGTAACAAAAGCTTTATAATAGCATTGTATTATATTTCCTGCAACAGTCTGCAGGTTTTTCTGATGAAAGAACAATGATTTGGTTTGCAAGGACAGTGTACAAATATCAGGTGTTGTATTCCGCTCACTGAAAAAAGCCAGGCCTCCACTGAAACGTAATCAAAGGCCACCTCTCTGTCACTTGGCTAGTAGTAGCCAAGCCAGGTGGCTTTTCTGTGGGGTCAGTGCTGGCCAAAACCACCGTGGGCTGGTTCTCAGAGGGAAGAAGAGGTGCCATACCCAAGCAGAGTGTCTTGTTCCTTCTGGACTAGACTCAGGTGGGCTGGGCAGGATGATGAGTGAGGTGAGAATCAAGTGCTCTCCGGGAGTGCCTGCCTTGTGGTTGCCTGCAAAGGGGTGGGTGGCTGGGGCCAACCTGTGGCTGGAGGGGCCATGCTTGTGGGGACTAACATCTCCCAGCCATGCCTGCCTGGCATCCTCTCTGCAGCTGAACAGCTTTACACCAAGATCTGTCCATTGCACTGTGCAATGATGTCCCTCTGAGGCAAGGGGTGGGAGGAGGAATGAGGCTGTTGTGTATGAGTGGGCAGAGGACTTTGCTGTCTTGTTACAGGAATGGATCGACCACAAGCTCTCCTGGAATCCTGAGGAATACGGAGGGATCACTGCCATCCGTGTCCCGTCTGAGTCCCTGTGGCTTCCTGACATTGTTTTATTTGAAAAGTGAGTAGCATGGCTCCTTGGTCCAGGCTTAGGCCAGAGCTTGGGTAAGGTATGTCAGCCATCGTGGAGCTTGTGTGTGCTGTCAGAAGGCTGCTTCTTTAGGCAGCATGAATGCTGGCCTTCCTTGTGCTCCAGTTGATGGTTAGAAAGCAGAGCTGTGAGGGGGTAGGACTGGAGCAAATGTAATCCTGAAGGTGGTACTGTTTCTTCCTGTCCAACTCCCAGTGCTGATGGACGTTTTGAAGGATCCCTGATGACCAAAGTCATAGTGAAGTACAATGGAGTGGTGACCTGGACGCCACCAGCCAGTTATAAGAGCTCCTGCACGATGGATGTGACCTTCTTCCCCTTCGACAGGCAGAACTGCTCCATGAAATTTGGATCGTGGACATATGATGGCAGTATGGTGGACTTGATTTTAGTGGATGAAAACGTAGACAGGAAAGACTTCTTTGATAATGGGGAGTGGGAGATCTTAAATGCCAAAGGGATGAAAGGCAACAGGAAGGATGGGCTGTACTCTTACCCATTTGTCACTTACTCGTTTGTGTTGAGACGCCTTCCGCTGTTTTACACTCTTTTCTTAATAATCCCTTGCCTGGGATTGTCTTTTCTAACTGTCCTGGTGTTTTACCTGCCTTCAGATGAAGGAGAAAAGCTTTCATTGTCTACATCAGTTCTAGTCTCCCTCACTGTCTTCCTTTTAGTGATTGAGGAAATAATCCCTTCTTCTTCCAAAGTCATCCCTCTGATCGGTGAGTATCTGCTGTTCATCATGATTTTTGTGACCCTCTCTATCATCGTGACTGTGTTTGTTATCAACGTCCACCACCGCTCCTCAGCAACTTACCATCCCATGGCTCCCTGGGTTAAAAGACTCTTCCTCCAGAAGTTGCCTCGGCTGCTCTGCATGAAGGGCCACGTAGATCGCTACTCCTTCTCAGAGACTGAAGAAAAGGAAACCACCTTGAAATCAAAGCTCCCAGGGAAGCAAGCAAAAGATGGAGAGAAGCTTGTTATTGCCTTTCTGGAAAAGGCAGCTGACTCCATTCGATACATTTCCAGGCATGTTAAAAAGGAGCATTTCATCAGACAGGTAGGTGAAGGGAGGGCAAGGGGGGATCACAATTTTCTTGGCACCAATGGCATCCAAGCTCCTACCTTTTCTGCATGCCTTTCCCTTTGCTCTTCCTCTTGCTTTCATCCGGGACATGTCCTGGGAACTTCCCCTGCTTGATAAATAATACGTTTTTTGGGAAAGTGGATTGCTTCAAGAAAAACTGTTTTGTGCTGTAAGAGTCCCTGCACTTCACAGACGCAAGAGGCCACAGCAGCCTCTCCTGGAGGAACTCCTGTTTTGGGATTATTTGAATAACCTTGTCCTGCTTAAGTTAGGGATAGACATGAATCCAGAAAACCTCTGAACTGTCACACACTCTGAAAGCATATCTTTCACAACGCTTATAGGCAGGCTCTACAGCAGTTACTAGGTCTTAGTCCTGGCCTCCCAAAGACTATACACAGTGTAGCTGCCCTGTTTTGAGTGGAGGTCTTCTAGATTTTCACTAACATGATTTCAGGTTAGAGCCTAACAACCATCATTCTCCTCCTCCCAAAAACCCATCTGGCTATTAAAATGGCAAATTACTGTGTGCACAGACAATGCATCTCCTACAAGAGCAGGACAGCAGAGCAACGCACCTAGCAGCATATGAAAGAGAAAAACTCCTGTTAGCACCCTCCTAGCAAAAGCCAGGGCTTTGTTCAAACTGGGCAGAGAGAACTTCAGCAGAAAGATGAACAGTAAACCAAACACACATTATTTGAGCACAGTGTCCAAGCTGAAATAGTTTTTGATAAAAAAAAGTCCCTTGAATTACTTTTATAAATAGCTCTTTTGTGTGTGCAGGGTTGTGCCAGTACTCACAATGCAGACTCTCCCTCCTGAAAGCACACAGTCTGAGCCAATGGAGCACTTTAGCAAACACAAGCCAATGGGACCACTTGTACTGGAAGCCATGTCTGCGTCAAAGTTCTGTGCTAGAGCCAAGTCCTGGCACTTCAAGGGAAATGCAGTTCTGTGAAAAGAAATCCAGTGCATTTTAAAGCCATGTTCAAGCTTGAGTCTGTAAACTTTCATTATGCACTTAGCTGAAAGCTTTTGTGCAGGCTAAAAGAAGGCTGATTACCATATGCATAAAACTACAGAGTTGTTTTGCTGTTTTGAGTGACTCGCAGGTATGGGTGCTGAAAGGGTGATCCAAGTCAGTTATAGGATACAGCACGCTACAAACTTCTAATTTTAAAAACAGATATTTGGAGCAGAAATATACGTAGCAGTATCAATAAAGTACTGGGCTCATTGCTGTTTCTGTTTGTTCTCCCTCTCTTCTTCCCAGGTTGTCCAAGACTGGAAATTTGTAGCTCAAGTCCTGGATCGGATCTTTCTGTGGTTATTTCTGGTGGTGTCAGTGATGGGTTCAGTTCTCATCTTTACCCCTGCATTACAGATGTGGCTGAATAGCACTTTGTAGAACATGCTCCCACAGCAGCATACAACAAGTACAAAGCTAAGTGATGTCGGGGCCTTTGAGCTTGGTCTTTATCATACAGGTTGGGAAACAACAGCCAGAATGAGGGAAGGCGATGATGACAGTGGGCATTGACTAGTGCTTTCTATCTTCACATAAATCTACCAGTGACAGATTTGGCTGAGATCAGAGACGTGCTTGGTGTGCAGCTGAGCCCTAAAGTTTACTGGGGTTGCACAATTGGTTTATAAGTATTTTACTGTAGCTTGGCTGTATTACAGTAAAAGCCAAGATTTTTAGTTAAAATTGGAAATAGTACTTCTGGCACAATGTTTATATTAGAAGGCAGATCTGTCAGCTAAAATGCTACTTTATAAAAGAAGTTACAGTAGGAACACAAATCAGTACTCAGTTTATCTGTATTTGCAAGTAAAAACCACAAAGTCTCTACAGATCGCTTTCTGCATGTGTCGGAACTGGAAATCGCACAGCATGTGCATCAGAAGAAGCACAAATACAACTCCTCTTTTAGAGGGGAAGTTCGAAACCTTGGCTCTGTGTCCTCACCTTGCTGCAGGATCAGCTCAACAGTGGCAGAGCTTACCACCCTGCCCCTCTGCTACCAGCCTTTATGGCATGCACACTTCATCTGTCCTCTTGGCCATCAGGAAGCTACAAGGTGTTACGCACTTTTCAGTACGACTTGCAGTTTTGCCTGCTGCTCTGTAATGTACCAAAAGGCTGAACAAGGAAGGATTTTCCCCACGCTCTGCATTTAGAAACTGTGATTGCTGCACTGGCTTGTTCATGAGACAAGTGGAAGTGGAAGATCACCTGAAGCATATGGCATGGAGAAACGTGGCTATGCTACTCTGTAAGGCAACAGTGATCCTCTTAAACAGTTCAGCTGGAGAGAAGCTGCAAACATCGTTTGCGCCAAATGAAACTTGTGGTTGGTGCAGAAGTGGAGTTTCTCCTGAGAGCTGTGGGGTGGGCTGGCTACCAGGAAGATACATCTTTGGGTGTTGGCTTGTTCATGTTTCCCAGGCATTTCAGAATTTCGTTCCTTTGATTCATTTAAACGGGATCCTTCTGCATGATTAGAAACAGCTCTTAAAAGCGTAAATAAGACCTGACAGAAAACAGCACAGGTGAAGCTCTCACTGCTTTTGCCCGGGTGGTGTTTTGCCAACATGGAGTCCTTTAGAAAATCCCATTCAGAACTTGCAGACTCTCTCAAGGCTAGCAAGGGATTTGGGGATCCAGTTTTTGGCAATATAAATGTGAATCTGGTGTTAAAGCCTCATCTAGCCTTGATGCTTTCTCTCTAGGGATGAAGGTTAGAAGGTGTTAAAAATACATGGGGGTATTCTTGTACTTGGATTGTGTGTGCACACCGGACCTCTGTGAGTTAATATCAACCCATCTTGTTGTGTCACTGTAGAAAGTTCTGTTCACTTGTGCAATCATTATTAATAAACATATATTTAGTAAATGATTCCTGGGGTGAGAGTGCTCATATGCTGGGCTTTGTTGCTGTTTTGTTGTCAAAAAAGTCTAGATTGTAGCCCATTTTAAAAGCCTTGTCTCAAATCTATTCAGAGGGGTTGTCGTGTTCTTGGAAAGACCTCATAACTTTTTAGCTCTGTGTTTGAGTTTGAGGAAGGAGCATTCAGATCTGGTTACTATATTGAAGGGACCTATAACAGACCCATTTAGTTCAGGATATACAGGTAGATGTCTTCACATAAGACACTGGTATAAGACTCATACACATGGACTGTCCTACCAGCTGCTCGTCTCACCTTGCATTGTTCAAGTCAGTTTGTTCCCCTGACCAGTACTGTGACATACCCATAGGAACACAGCCAGGAAGCTCTTCTTTCCAGCATTTACAGACTCCTGAAATCAATTAGTGATAGGTTTTCCCTCTGAGCACTGCTGCCAGGGGGCTGCCTGTTAGCAATGACAGATGACTCCCGGGCAAGAGCTTCAGGTGTTAACTAGCTGATGGTCCTGTCCTCAACTTGTGACATTTCGGTTTCCCACCTGCAGGTAATACACGGCTGTGTCTCCCGTGGCCATGTCTCATACCAAGCTGCTTTTTCTGGCTTATGCTGGTAAAGGTCAGCAGGGCTCAGGTCCTTGGAATGGGAGATGCATGAACGCTGCACAGGTATGGCTTGTGGCTTCTGGTCTTCCCAGCATTGCATCTGGGACTGCTACATCTGTAGTCTCCCTACTCATGATTTCCTTACACTGTTTCTGAGCTTCCCTGAATCTCTTTGCCGCTGGCCCACAGATGCATTCAGTGCGTCCCACAGCCTGGTCTGCTACTAAGAAACACAAGTAGGGAGGACATTTGGGTAGACAGTCCTCTGATAGACTCCTTCCCTTTGCTCCATGTGCTCTGCCTGTGGATGACAACATTGCAAATTGCAACTCTTCAAAAAACCCTGCAACCCTCTGCCTTACTACTGCCTCTACATGTGCTGCTTTGATTTCTGGGCACTGGTTTGCCAGGGCCTTCGCACTGCATGGCGGGACCATGTGTATCACCCATTCACCAAGAGACAACTACGACAAATTCCTCAGGCCTTCTAGTGGGGGGGAAGTGGAAAGATGGTCTCCCTTGGGAGAAGAGTGTAAGGACCTGGCTGAGCCATCGAATTGCTTCTGTGCTTTTAAAATTAATTAATAGGTGCCATCACTCTCAAGAAAAGGAGATTTCTTGCTGCCAGTGCTACACTTACCACTGGGACATATAACGAGGAGTGTTGCTGATGTGGTTTTGGAGCCGATGAGGCAAGAATAAGCACATCACTCTGCGTGCTCTGCAGTGAATGTGGGTACCTTTCCTGTGGCTGTGCATGGTGTGTGACCCAACTCAGCGTCTGGGATGACACCAGCTCTGGTTGAAATTTTTCTTGGCATTTCAGTTAGAAGGTCTCCCAACAACAGGTGAGGCAAGCAAAAATACCACTTTTGCGTGGGTCTGCTCAGAGGTGGGCCCCTACTGCAGCCTTCTCCAGGGTGAGACGCTTACCACGTCCCCCATCCCCACTCTCTCTAATTACCCAACTACTTTCACAAAGCTGACAGGAGTACACAAGGCTCCCAGTCTTGAGTGTGGCCAACACAGCTGAAAATTCAGGATCCTGCGTGGAGGAAGCAGGGCGATAAGCAGGATCAAAACCCTGGACCTCAGGAGGGCTGACTTTGCCCTCTTCAAGTTTGCCCGCTTCAAGGAGCTACTGGGAGGAATCCCGTGGGCCAGGGCTCTCGAAGGCAGGGGGGTCCATGAGTGCTGGTCGCTTTTTAAACAACACTTCTTCCATGCACAGGAGCAATGCATCCCCCTGAGAAAGAAATTTAGCAAAGGAGGCAGGAGACCTGCATGGTTAAACAAAGAGCTTCTAGCGGAGATCAGGCAGAAGAGAAAGGTGCATGGAATGTGGAAAGAGGGACAGGCCACTTGGGAAGAGTACAGAAACGTAGTGAGAGCATGCAGGGATGCGACGAGGAAGGCCAAGGCTCACCTGGAATTGAAGCTGGCAAGGGATGTCAAAAACAACAAGAAGGGCTTCTTCAACGACATCAGCAGCAAAAGGAAGGCTAGGGACAACGTGGGGCCGCTGCTGAATGAGGCGGGTGTCCTGGTGACGGAGGATGCGGAGAAGGCAGAGCTAATGAATGCCTTCTTTGCTTCAGTGTTCAGTGTTCAGTGCTAAGACTGGCCCTCAGGAATCCCAGGCCCCGGAGGTAAGAGAAGAAGCCTACAAAGAGGACGACTTTCCCTTGGTTGATGAGGACTGTGTGAGGGATCGCTTAAGCGATCTGGATGTCCACAAATCCAGGGGCCCCGATGGAA